ATATACTAAAATAATAATAAGAGATAATAACTAACTATAATATACGAATAAAATATGATAATAACTAATAGAAAAAATAAAGAAAAAGAAATTCTATTACATATTCCCCTCCTTAAAATGCGAGGTTCTCCGAAGCATCCCGATATTAAGATAAACTTCATTTATCAATTACTATAAATATACTATACTATTTTTAAACTTTATTGACAATATTCCAAAAGTTTCTATCAGCTAATCTTTTTAAAGTTTAACTTTAAACTTTATCAGCAAATCATCATGGCAGATTTCTATTTTTGATTTGTAAACTTGTTAATAATCAACAATTATAGTAATTTATCATTTTAGATACTATCATGATAAATTTTAATTTGTGTAAAACTTTTCTGTTTGTTTAGAAAAAGATTTTTAATTCATGTTTGGAGTAGCATGACTCATTGTTGTAGCTTTTGCTTTGTAGTGACTGATTATCGATTGTTCAAAAATTTTTCCACTAAAAAAAAAATTTTTTTTTTTTTTTTATAAAACTAATAGGTTCATCATTTCGCTTTAACAATTTTTCCTAAAACTACCTCTACTATTCCAAGGTTATAATTATTTATCCTTTTACTTTTTCCAACTTCCACTATTCATGATTATCATACTAGTTCATAGAGAAACTTTGCTTTTCCACTGGATCGCTTGGAGCAGTTATTTTGATAATTTGACTTCTTGAGTGCCCAGGTTAAAGCAAAAAAGGATCATAGCTCAATACTTAGTATTGTACAGCTAGCCCTTTCTACTTTTTATGCATGCTTCCCCCTTTTGTTTTCTTTATTATGAAATAATATTTATAAAATTTTTGTCGCTATTTTGTATTTAACCAAAATATTAACAAAATTTTTATTTATATGCATATATTTTAGCTAAAGAAATGTCCTTTGAAAAGTATAGCTTCAACATTATTCAGACCTCTGACTCCTTTTTCTCGACTTCCACTAATACTGCGATTACTCATCAAGATTTGCTCACATACATCAGTTCTCTTCAAGACACTATAGCTGCAGTTGCAAGTTCGTCAAATCGTTTGGAGAAGAAAACTAAAGAATATTCCAGTGGTTCAAGTTGTAAAAAGTATGCACTTCTTCGTATCAAGTTAAATGATACATATACAGAACTCAAGAAAAGGAAGTCACAAAAAGAGATGCTGCAAAAAATTAAAGACCTCAAAAAGCATGTAATAGATTTAGAGAAGGAAAATCTTTGCCACTGATTTTTGAATACTACTAATCAAACTAAAGAGAAGGGCAAAGAAAAAGGAAAAAGATAATGATAATGATAATAATAATGATAATATTGTTCAATAATAAGTAATTGATTCAATAATCAATATATAAATATATATATATATGTATATATATATATTTTTTTTTTTTGATATTATAAATAAAGTTTTTGTTAAATAAAATAAAGTGACGTTAATAAAATAAAAGTTATTTTGTTAAAATAATAATAATAAGAAAGAAAAGTGAAACAAAATATTATATTAGCTAATAATTATAGTAGATTTCCATAAAGGTTGGTCAAAGTATAATTTTAAATGATTAGTATTAATTGTCTCTTTTAAAATTTTATTATCTATAGAATGAAATTTATAAGCTCCTGGTGCAACTATATTATGAATATAATAAGGTCCTTTCTATTTTTCTCTGAATTTATCACCATGTACCTTGGCTTGTATTGATCGATATAATAGTACCTTATTCCCAATATGAAATGGAACTTTCTTGATCTGCTTATCATATTTTTTCTTTTGTTTTTGTTAAGCAGATTCAATATTTTGTTGGGCTTTTAACTGAACTTGATGTAGTTTATTTGTAATAAGGTTAATATGACCTTGAAGCTGTTGTTTATACAGAGATTTCTCAGTATTATTAGTAGAATTTAATGCTAAATCAAGAGGTGTAACAGCTTTTCGACTATAGAGTAGTTCAAATAGTTCATATTTGGTAGTAGATTGAGGAACCGTTCAGTAGACAAATAAAGCAGCAAAGATAAAAGTATCTTAAGAATTCTTATAGTTACTAACATACTTTACTAAAATTGTATACAAAGTTTTGTTAAATCGTTCAGTTAATCCATTAGTTTGGGATGATAAGCAGAAGCAAGTCGATGTTTAGTATTCATTAGTTGACAAAGAGAATCAACTAAAGTATTGCAGAAAGATTTTTCTTGATCAGACAACAATTCCTGTGAACATCTATAACGAACAATAATTTTATCATAGATGAACTTGGCAATAGTAGTAGCTTTTATATCAAGTATGGCTTTAGCTTCAGGCCATTTTGTTAGATATTCAGTAGCTATAATAATATATCGATTTCCACTTGGAGTAATTTTTAAAGGTCCAATAATATCAATTCCAACTCGGTAAAATGGAGCTAAGACAGGTAATGGATATAAAAATTTGTTTTGTTTTGTCCCTCTTTGACGTTGACAAGTATCACATATTTGAATATAGTTTGTAATACTTTTATATATTTTAGGCCAATAGTATTTGTTTTTAGTACCTTTTTCTATATATTTATTATATTTTATTATAGTTATTTTTAGTTAGCTATAGGACAACACGTTGAAGAAGGCTCCT